CGAAGTCAGAAGCTTAATCTGCCGAGACCCCATCCCGATCTCTAAATGACCCACACATTCTTCTCGTAACTACCTAAAACCTCTTCTAGCTGTAAAGTCTTCCCCAGGAACTTCCCCAGGAAGTTGTCTTCCGGTCAGCCTCCCACACTATTGCACTAAAGCCCCTGGTGATGCTCCACTCCTGGGATTATAAAGTCTCCGAGGTCAGAGGTCACAGGTTAGCGTCAATGTCACCGTTGTATCTCTGCTGGATGCCGCCTCTTCCCTGAGGGCCTGGGTAAAACAACGCAACCTTCCGTATTGTTGCACTACACATTTACTTAATTTTTTTTATCTCCTTCTAGAATGTAAACTCTGCCACGGCAGTGACTTGGTTTCTTTACTACGGTATCCTCAGCACCTAGAAAGATACCTAGCATGCTATAGGGACAAAAAAACCTTTTTTTCCCTGGTTTTTGTTGTTGTTTTTTTTTTTTTTTTTTTTGAGAGTGACTGAGGGGGGGTGGGCGGAGAGAATCCCAAGCAGGCTCCATGCTCAACAGGGGCTCGATTCCACAACCCTGGGATCATGACCTGAGCCAAAATCAAGAGACAGATGCTCAACCAACTGAGCCACCCAGGTGCCCTAAAATCTTTTTTTTTTTTTTTTGGATGAATAGAAGAATGCACTGATGCTGTTGCTTCTTGAATACCCAGATTCCTCATCCTGACCCCTGAACATCTTCATTCCTCCTCTGCAAAAAGACGTCGGATCGTACAGCGTCCGAGGTGCCTGCTAGCTTGAAACCTACCTATATCCTCAAAGACTAGCCCAAAAAAGACTGGCTGAATTCAGTTGTTTAGTGTGGCTTCTGAGATGAATGGAGGTAGCTTTGGGCTCGCTTCTCTGCTCCCTCCCCCCACCACTTGCCACCAGCCCATCTTCCTGGCTGTAAGGTGACTGCACGCTGAAAGAAATCACCTGGGCCTAATATAGGGTGCCCGGGTGGCCCAGCTGGTGAAGCGTCTGACTCTTGATCTCAGCTTAGGTCTTGATCTCTGGGTCGTGAGTTCAAGCCCGATGTTGGGTTCTACATTGGAGAAGGAAGGAAGAAGGGAGGGAAGGAAGGGGAGTCCCCTGGGCCTCATGCATATAAGGATGCCAGAGGTCAGGACCACATCAGGATCCACAAGACTGAGCTGAAATGATACAATCAGGGTAGTAAATCTGAGGTTAGGAAGTTCACCGGCTTATGGCACCCCCCCCCCATTTTTGCAACAGCACCTTGCCTCCTTATCCAAAAAGTAAGCAATAGCCCTCACAGTGCATAACTGGATGCTACCGGGCAGTGATGGGTAGCCGAAGTTTTTCAAAGAAAAAGCGGAGGAAATAACCCTTAGAAAGCAGCAACAGGAAGCGGGGAGGCCATCAACCTTTATCACCAATCCAAATAACATGTGGGTCCTAACAGCATCCATAAAGGAAACTAGAATACATTTGGAATTGAATTGCGATGAAAATGTTGCACACCAAAAACGCGTAGACTACAGTGAAACCAGTGCTTTGGAGGGAATGCAGAATCAAAAAGAAAGGTTTACATTAATGAGCCAAATGAACCCACGTTTGCTGACTGATTCATGGTTATGGCTGCTTGGCAAATCATCCCCAAATTTAGTGGCTTTGAGCCACAAGGTCATTTCTCACAATTCTGCGGGTAGATGGGGCTCCAACAGGTGGTCCTACTGCTGGCCTTGTGTGGGGTTGTTTGTGTGGCGGCAGTCAGGCGGTGGCTGGGACGGGAACACACACAATGGCTTTATCTACCTTCTTGGACGGGGACAGCTGGAAGGCTGGGCTCGGTTGAGCTGCTCAGAAAGCTGGACCTGTCCGTGAAGTCTCAGGGCCTTTCCTTCTCTACGAGGTCTCGCAAGCAGAGTAGCTGAATTTCTCATTGGGCGACTCACGGCTCCGAAGAACACAAAAGGCTGAGGCTTTGCCCTGGCACAGGATCACTGCTACCACATCCTATTGGCTAAAATGAATGAATCACAGGCCCAGCCTGGTTCCTCGTGGGAGGACGACACGAGCACCTAATGCCAGGAGGGATGGATCACTGGCGGCCATCTTCGGAGACGAGCTACCACAAGGAGCTCCTGAGACACCAAGCCCTTCATCTTTTCTTTACTTCACGCTACAATGAGCATCTACAAACAGAACGTGACTGGATTCTCTGCCTTAGGAAGATCATTCTGGCAGTGGCGAGGAAGATGGCTTAGAGAAGGGGAAGCCAGAAGTTTTGCCACTTTGGTGGCCAAGAACTGAACCTAGGTAGGGATGAACCCAGCCCAAAGGGAAGGAAGCTATGGTCTCTAATATCACATGCTGCAGAGATGCCCATCGAGGTCAGGATCACGACGTATCAATGAGACAACTTAGTTAAAGAGGTGGAGGTGAGCGGCCCCTGGGTGGCTCAGTTGTTTGAGCGTCCAACTTCAGCTCAGGTCACGATCTCATGGTTCGGGAGTTCGAGCCTTGCACCAGGCTCACCGCTGTCCGTGACGCGCCCACTTCGGATCCTCTGTCCCCCTCTCTCTCTACCCCTCCCCTGCTCGCACTCTTTCTCTCTCAAAAATAAATAAATAAAATAAGAAGCAAGGGCGCCTAGGTGGTTCAGTCGGTTAAGCGTCTGACTTCGGCTCAGGTCACGATCTCGCAGTTGGTGAGCTGGAGCCCCGCATCAGGCTCTGTGCGCAGAGCCCGGAGCCTGCTTCAGATTCTGTGTCTCCCTCTCTTTCTGCGCCTTCCCAGTTCACACTGTCTCTCTCCGTCTCAAAACTGGATAAAAATAAAAATAAAAAAGATTTGTTTAATTTAAAAAGCGAAGAGGTGGAAGTGAGGAAGCCAAAATAGTGTTAGTGGTTACACCACATCCCATCTAATCGTGTGTGTATTTCACCAGTTGAAGTGCTATTCTCTTCCGCCATTTCTGTAAGTTAGCCAAGGGCTCTACCACAGTTCCTTTATAACCAGACAGCTCAAATCTACGGTTAACTTTCGGCTCGGTGACTCGTAGGCCTCTTGAATTTAATCCACAGAAATGTATGTTTATGTATATACACCCACACTATAAATTTGCATGTGTGCATATGGATTTTACATACATACATACATATTTCTATGTATGCTTAGCTGAAGCAAACGTCTTACAGATCAATCCTCTCTGTGACCTACTATTATGTTCTATTCTCTTCCTTCCGATTTTTTTTTATTTATTTATTTTGAGAAGAGAGAGAGTGTGCACAAGCAGGGGAGGGGCAGAGAAAAAGAGAGAGAGGGAGAATCCTAAGCAGGCTCTATACTATCAGCACAGGGCCCAGTGTGGGGCTCCATTCTATGAACCATGAGATCTTGACCTGAGCTGAAATCAAGAGTTGGATGCTTAACCAACTGAGCCACCCAGTGTCCCACATCCTATTTTTCTAATGCTGGCCAAGAATGTCTAAATTAATTCTGCAATCCATTGATGCATTCTGACTTTACCTTGAAAACCCCTACTTTAGCAGGTAAGCACCTGTAACCCCGGGAATATTTAGGATTAAGTACAGAAATAATGAAAAAAATCAGTCATAGCATTAATATTTTCTGTTACATTTTGGAAACATCTAATTTGGTATTTATAATTTAAGAGAATTTAACATACTGATGTATGTAACAGATTAATTTTGCAATTCCTTAAAATGTGAAAGAGTGGGGCACCTGGGTGGCTCCTTTGGCTGAGCATCTGACTCTGGATTCTGGCTCAGGTTACCATCCACCGCCAAAGGTCCAGGGTTGTGGGATCAAGCCCTGCCTTGGGCTCTCCACTGAGTGTGGAGCTTGCATAATATTATCTCTCTCACCCTCTGCCCCTCTCCCCTATTCACGCTCTCTAAAAAAAAAAAAAAATTTTTTTAATGTGAAAGACTAACTGATTCAGATTCATGACTGTACAAGAATATATGTAATAAGAATTTAATCACATTTTAAGCAATATTGAGATTATGAGATTTTAAGGTTCCTCCTATTTTTAAGAGTGAGCTCAGTACTTGGATTTTGCTTACCAAGGAAGTGAATTGCCTAAGAAGAAAATATGTTCAATTTATAAATGCGCTTTAGTTATGGGGATATATGGAATAAAAATCCCCTTAAAATGATTTTTTTTTTGATTTGCCAGCATATTTACTACTTTAGGATAACCAGGTTTGGGGTTTATAGCTCTAATATTCATTACTAAAGCAAAGGGAATTTCAAAAGTCACCAGATTGCCCAGAACCCCGTCCTAGAGGGCCTGGAAGCAGCTCCCATTCACCTGGAACTGGGCGTTCAACGGGGCGAGCAACACGTGGCCCTACCAAAGGAACTGGTTCTGCTTCAGCAGGGGAACCAGAAGCCGACCAAGGAACAGGTGAGACTGTCATTCGTTTCTACTGTATCGCCTGCCGCCCTCATTTTTTAAAGTAATAAACAAAATACAACCGAAAAGCTCGAAGCGGGCCACGAAAAGCCGTTTCCTCCGGGTCTGCGCCATCGCGCCCCAGGCCCCGCTTCCATCCGCGGGAGCAGGGTGGTCCCCGAGTGGGAGGCGGGGACGAAGGGGTCCCGGGAGGCGTGGGGAGCAGAGAGGGGTCCGGGGCTCTAGATCACCCGCGCTGCGGAAAGCGGGCTCGGCAACAGTTTCCGCGTGGGAATAGTCGCCGCGGCCCGCACGGGATCTCCCGCCCGGCCTCTGCCGAGCTCTGCCATCCACAATTCCTACGATGAAGACCTGGGGCTGGAATATTATCTGGGAAAGCGCCTTTCCAAACTGCTTTGCGGCCTGCTGGCCAGGCCGCATCCCGCGCGTCCCGGGCAACCGCGCCGACCCGCGCGGCAGCGGAGGCCGCACGGTAGCCCGCGCGCTCGCGCTCCCAACTCCCGCCCTCCGGGCGATACCACCGCGGCGCACCCCTCCGAAGGCCCGCAAAGGTATCGCCCCCGGTCTCTGATTGGCCGGCGGCGCGGAGGCGTGGCTTCCGGAGCCCGGTTCCGCGCGCCGGAGCCCACTCGCCGCATTGCGAGCCGGGCCAGGAGCGGGCGCCATGGTGAGGAGTGGTAGCGGGTGCGGGTGAGGCGAAGGCCGAGGTTTGGGCCTGAGTTCGGGCGGGAGCCCGGGCCGGGGCGGGAGTCTGCCCTGGGAGCGGGGCCGGGTGAACTCGGGAACCGCGCTGACGCTCGCGCCCCGGCTCCCGTTCCAGGTGCTGCTACACGTGCTATTCGAGCACGCGGTCGGCTACGCGCTGCTGGCGCTGAAGGAGGTGGAGGAGATCAGCCTGCTGCTGCCGCAGGTGGGTGGAAGCGGTGGGCTTGCCGGCCGCGCCACAGCTCCTCGGGCCGCCGGGCCCCGGCATGCACCGCGCGCTCCCACGTGGCCGGTCGCGCTTTGGGGGGTGCGCTGGGCCTGAAAGCTCCCGACCTGGCGGTGGGGACGGGGTGGGGGGGGGGGCCTTACCCCCGCGGGTGTTTTTTTTTGGGTTTCAGTCGCTAGAAGGCACCCCCCCCCCCCCCGGATTGCACCCCGTACGATGAATCCGACCGGGATTCAGGGCCTATATTCGGCTCGTTTTCAAAGCGTTCGGCTGGTTCTTAAACATGCGTGCAGGGCTGAGAACCGCTGCTTTACTGCGCCCTAGAGGCAAGAGCCAGGGAAGAAAACCGCTCATCCTGTTTCTTCCCCAAGGTGGAAGAGTGCGTGCTCAACCTGGGCAAGTTCCACAATATCGTTCGTCTCGTGGCCTTTTGTCCCTTTGCCTCGTCCCAGGTTGCCTTGGAAAATGCCAACGCTGTGTCTGAAGGTGAGTCGGCCACCACCAAGTATCTTACAGAGATAAGTCGATGTTATTTCTTTGTGGTCCTTCTAGAGATAAATGCTCCGTAGGTGAAATCCGGTAGGGAGGCATGGTTTGATGGTAAAGGTGGTTCTCTGGTAATTGTCGAAGTGCTTGGAAAAGGCGGTTTTGATACAGAAGAGCCAAGAAAAAAAGATTATTCCAGAAGGCAAATCAGGCACTAAATGCTTATTTACACAGCGCCCTAGGGTGTGTTGGAGGCTTCAATTATATATTGCACACGCTTGCAATTGGACCTGAGTCCTGTTCCTTCCATGGTTGATGCGGGCTTTGCGGTGATGACGTGAATCTGTCAATCCCCTGAGTGCAATCACTGATGTCTCCATGTCTCTGAGCAAAGCCTGAAGCAAGGAAGGATCTAGGTGTGCCATCCCAGCATGCCCTGTGGGACCAACATAGGATAAGTCTATCACTTAATCAGCATTTAGGGTGACAGGATCCCTTTTATGAGTTAAGCATTCTTCAGTATGTTAGTGGAAGCTCTCTGTTCTCTGCCCTGAGGTGTTGTTCACGAGGACCTCCGCCTGCTCTTGGAGACACACCTGCCATCCAAAAAGAAGAAAGTACTCTTGGGGGTTGGAGACCCCAAGATCGGTGCTGCTATACAAGAAGAGTTAGGGTACAACTGCCAGACTGGAGGCGTGATAGCTGAGATCCTGCGAGGTGGGACTGCTATTAACATTCACTACATTCGTGGCATCTCTGAGGGGGGATCTGGAAACTTAACAGGGTGCTTAGCTTAAGGTTGCTTCTGGGAAGCCCTTCTGCTTGGCTGGTGCCCGTGAGTGCAGAGGTTGGCTTAGAACCTTCCCTTGCTCACAGTCTCGCTCTCCTCCAGGGGTTCGTCTGCACTTCCACAACCTGGTGAAGGGTCTGACAGATCTGTCTGCTTGTAAAGCCCAGTTGGGGCTGGGACACAGCTATTCCCGTGCCAAAGTTAAGTTTAACGTGAACCGGGTAGACAATATGATTATCCAATCCATTAGTCTCCTGGACCAGCTGGATAAGGACATCAATACTTTCTCCATGCGTGTCAGGTAAAGAGCCTGAGTAACCCCTGAGAAGGGGGTCTTTGGCCTGTGGTTTAACTAATTTGAATGCTGAAGTCAGGACTGGCTCCTGCCGGCAGAACCGCGTGGGGTGGGGCTGAGCCTCCTGGTGCTTACCACAGGCTGTGTTCTTACACTGACTGTACAGAAAGAGGAGGCAGAGTAAATCCACCCATATACACCCCAGCCCAGGTGCTTTGCCTGGTCTGTATTGTGAATGGGGGGACACGGAGTTGACGTTTTGAATCTGACTTGTTTCCTGTTCTTCAGGCAAAGAATAGAAATGGAGAGGGTTGAGGCTATGGCTCTGCGACCTGGCAGCTGGGCAGGGAGTGATTGTGCTGGCTTTTTGCAGGGAGTGGTACGGGTATCACTTTCCTGAGCTGGTGAAGATCATCAATGACAACGCCACATACTGCCGCCTCGCTCAGTTCATTGGAAACCGAAGGGAGCTGAATGAAGACAAGCTGGAGAAGCTGGAAGAGCTGACAATGGATGGAGCCAAGGCTAAGGCTATTCTGGATGCCTCGCGGTCCTCCATGGGTCAGTACAGCTTAGTGGCCAGAATAAGTTTGGGGCTGTGAATATCTGGTCTTGCATTCATTCTTGGTGTCCCTTAGGCATGGACATATCAGCCATCGACTTGATAAACATCGAGAGCTTCTCCAGTCGTGTGGTGTCTTTGTCAGAGTACCGCCAGAGCCTACATACTTACCTGCGATCCAAGATGAGCCAAGTAGCCCCCAGCCTATCAGCACTAATTGGGGAAGCGGTGCGTCATGGGGAACACAACATGGGGTTAAAGACTTATTACAACAGAGGTCCATACTGCTGTCTTTTCTGACCCATTGTTAATCTTCCCCAGTTGCACTTGACGACGGGTGAAGCAGAATTATGCAGTTGGTAGAGTGGCAATTCCAGCTTCTCTAATTCCTTGATTCCTTTTCTAGGTAGGTGCACGTCTCATTGCTCATGCTGGCAGCCTCACCAACCTGGCCAAGTATCCAGCGTCCACAGTGCAGATCCTTGGGGCTGAAAAGGCCCTGTTCAGGTACCAGTGAGGGCACCTGCCCACACACAGGTGCCACTTGCGGTGCCCACTGCTTGTTTGGGGATCACGGTGATGGCTGACCAGGGCTCCCTGACCTATACAGACCTCTGCTATGGGGTGATGGCCAGTCCTGGTGTCTGAGTGATTCCCAGGGCCCAGCAAAGGGACCAGATTTCCAGGTCAGCGACATTGGATGCCTTCCCTCTGCCTCTGGGAGCTGTGGGTTGGCATGAGGTGGGGGTGTAGAGACCCAGTCCAGCCTGAGGCTCACTTTGGAGACTGGGGGAGCACGGGAGGGGAGGAGCTGCCTCGGCTGGTGGGGTTGAGATTTCTGATCTTAAACTCCCCACTAAATATTCTTCTCCCAGAGCCCTGAAGACACGGGGTAACACCCCAAAATATGGACTCATTTTCCACTCCACCTTCATTGGCCGAGCAGCTGCCAAGAACAAAGGCCGCATCTCCCGATACCTGGCAAACAAATGCAGTATTGCCTCACGAATTGATTGCTTCTCTGGTATGGGTGGGGGGGTTGGAGGAGAAGGGGCTGGGAGGAGGGGAGGCTGACTACCTAGCAGCTTCTACAATGATGGCAATATTTTTCGTCAACAGCAGTTCACCTAGCGAGTGTTGATACCTTGGGTCTGAGTGAAGCTGAGGGTAGAGGGAAAACGGCGGGGAGTAGCTGGCCCTTTAGGAGCTGACAGGCTTTGTTTACCCACACGCACACACACACACACATCCAGAGGTGCCCACAAGCGTATTTGGGGAGAAGCTTCGAGAGCAAGTTGAGGAGCGGCTGTCCTTCTATGAGACAGGAGAGATTCCACGAAAGAATCTGGATGTCATGAAGGAGGCGATGGTTCAGGTCAGTTTGGGCTTTGCTGGGTGGGGGAAGGACCACCAGAGCTGGCTGTTGGAGGTGATGAACTGGCTAAGCCTGACTACATTTGTAGAGTGGAGGCAAAAAAACTGATTTAATGAGCCTGATCCAATGAAGCCGGAAAGGAGGCCTAGAGAACCTGCAGTCTTCAGGGCCTTTCCAGCACTTTTCTTTGGCCAGGCAGAGGAAGCGGCTGCTGAGATGGCCAGGAAGCTGGAGAAGCAGGAGAAGAAACGCTTGAAGAAGGAGAAGAAACGGCTGGCCGCCCTTGCCCTCGCGTCTTCGGAAAACAGCAGTAGTACCCTGGAGGAGTGTGAGGTCAGTGGGCAGGCCAACCCTCAGCCCAGGGTGAAGGCCCCGGGTGTAGGGTTCTTGACAGCAGAACAGAGGATGTGCTACCTCACATCATGGTCTCGAGTCCAGGCTTTTGGACTAAAATCAGGACCTGAAACATCTCAAACTACCTCTTGATTCTATAGGAAGGAGATAGGTGCTGAGAGAACTGGCTCAGGAGCCCAGAGAGCTGGTTGTAACACACCCGGTCCCTGGGCAAGTGTTCTGTCCTCGGCTGCCTCCCAGGAGTCCTCAACCGGGGGTAGTGTGAATTCCTGCTCTGCGTGTTCTCAGCCGTGTTGTCTGGAGGTGGTAGCATTTCATAGTGGGGCTTGGGGCAGGGAGGTCTCCATGATGTGTGCTAGGTTAGGGTCCTCCCCAGGATTTTCATGCAGCGCCCAGTTTGTCAAGTAGTCTTTCAGGGTCCCCTTTGGAACATGGCATGATGGTTCTATTGTGTGTTTTTCTATAGCTATTTCATGGGCTTAGCAACATATCCTCAAGTGGGAGTCCCCTTGGGGATGGGTTTGCAGCATCTTGCCTATAGTTAGAAATCCTTTCCGAAACACTGGGCGATTTTCACACCATTTCTACCAGTTTCTCTGCCCTATTTAGTTGCTGGAATTTTCAGAGGTGCGCATATTCATACGATGGAAGATAGTTTCATGCCCATTTTTCTCTTTAGGAGGTAAGTGAGAGACCCAAGAAGAAGAAAAAGCAAAAGCCCCAGGAGACTCCTCAGGAGAATGGAATGGAAGACCCATCGGTTTCTGTCTCCAAACCCAAGAAAAAGAAATCTTTTTCCAAGGAGGAGCTGGTTAGTAGTGATCTTGAAGAGACCGCTGGCAGCGGAAGTCTTCCTAAGAGGAAGAAATCTTTCCCCAAAGAGGAACCAGTTAGTGATGCCGAAGAGGCAGCAAACAGGAGCATCCCTAAGAAAAAGAGGAAATTCTCTTCCAAGGAGGAGCCACTCAGCAGTGGACCAGAAGAGGCTGTTGGCAGCAAGAGCAGCAGCTCCAAGAAAAAGAAAAAGCTCCAGAAGTTCTCCCAGGAAGATTAGAGTGGACATTTTCCTGGTGGGGCATAACCCACATGGCATTACCCAACCCATCCCTTATATCCCAATAAAAACAGATTCACAGGAGTCCGTATATTTGTTTTATTGAACACCTTACATGGCTATGGGTGTGGATGGGACCTACTGGTGAGGCAGAGCACCAATGACCGCCTCAGTGAAGTCTTGGCAGGTGGCATAGCCACCCATGTCAGAAGTTCGAACCTGTAGGGGAGAATGGTCATCATCCCTGTGGCCTAGGCCCCATCCCTAGGCGGCCCCCTACCCCCACCTAGTAATACACGGGTCCCTAAGGAAGCCAGCCCCAGGACAACCTAGGCTCTGCCCAGATGATTATGGTCTAAAAGGTTTAAGAGCTCTTCTCTGGTCCACTGTACTGAAGGGAGGTGTAGGTAGTATGGTCCTTGTGAGGTTGGAGGGAATAAAGGGGTTTAGCCCCCGTGGGGGTGCAGGTGGCCGATGACAGACTTGATGAAGTCGGTTGTGGTACTGTAGCCGCCCATGTCTCGAGTCCGCACCTACAGCCACCACCGGCAAAAGCCGTGGGGAAGAAGAGAAGAGAGCCCATGAAGGGGGGATAGGGCAATGTGATGGGCATGGAATCCAAGAAGGAATGACAAGGCCAGAAAGAAGATGCAATGCAGCAGAATCGCAAGGAGGTGGCCAGGTTTGGAAGAGCATGGGCTCCCCCACTCCTGTCTGGGCCAGAGCCACTATCAGAGAGCTATGCTGCAGCCTGAGCAGGATGGGAGGGAGGCTGAGCGTGAAGTGAGATGGGAGATGCAAGTCCTGGAGGACTTCAGACCACGTGGGAGGACGGAAGGCAGGGGAATGCAGATGAGGAAGGGCTTGCAGGTGTGGAGAAGCAGACACCTGTGCCTCATCCTGCCTGCTATCTCCCTCTGCTCCTCTGGCCCCCACACCCTCCCCCAGACAGCAGCCACAAAAGAGCCGATGGAGGGAGCAGGAAAGAGGGCATAGCAGACAGTAACCAAGAGGCAAAGGAGACCCAGAGGATGAAACAGCCAGGAGAAGGAAGGTGAGGAACAGCCCTGAGAGCTGCAGGGGAAGATCAGAGTGCAGAAGACATTCTGGGGACCTGGAGGGAAAGGAGGCCCCGATTCAGGTTCCCCAAAGAGGAGTGCTGAGGCCCTGAAACCCACAGCCTTTCTGACTCACCTTGCCAACTTTGATCACCTTCTTCACGGCATCTGCAATCATGTTGGAGTGATACTCAAGACTGTCAATGTAGACAGGAAGAAACTGAGATTCTCCCCACATCATCCCCCTGATTTCCCCACCTGTGCTCCCCCTTAAAAACACCCAGCCTCCTGCCCCAACCCACCAACACCTACTTGAGATGCCGCAACATGTTGGAAGCTGACAGCAGCATGGCTGTGGGGTTGGCTATGTTCCTGCCCACTGCCTGGGCAAATGGGTGCCGGGCGCCCTGTGGAGAGAGGGCAGGCCAGAGTCACTAGGAGCAGATGTTACGCAGAGGCTGAGGTCAGGGAAGGGCACTGAGGAAGAGAGCTCAGGTGAGACACCCAGGATATAAGCATATGGCAGTGGGGGGAAGAACACACCAGGGTCACTGAGGAGGGGGATGCATCGGAGGGCAGTTGTCAAGGGACCTGAAGTCAGAAGCCAGGCATGCAGAGAGGGCCGGGCGAAGAGAAGAGGTGACCTCACGTACCGTCTCAAAGACCGCATACTCTGCGCTATAGCTCTCACCAGGGACCACACCAGCTCCCCCAACCAAGCCGGCAGCCAGATTGTCAATAATGTTCCCGTAGAGATTGGGCATCACCAGCACATCAAACTGGTAAGGATTCTGCACCAGCTAGGAGGCAAAATGGCGGCATGGAGAAGTTCTGCTCCATGCCCATCCCAGGCACTCTGAGGGTGGAGACACGGGGAGGACATTACCTGCATGCAGCAGTTGTCTATGATCATTGTCTCAAACTTGATTTTGGGGTACAGTTCAGCAACTTCCTCACAGCACTGCAGGAACAACCCATCCCCAAGTTTCCTGTCCGTGGGCCAAAGGGAACAGATTCAATCAAGAAAGTGCAAGGGGCTACCTTCTCAGGGGCTCCTACCCCATGCAAAGACATGTCCCTCACATGATGTTGGCCTTGTGAACAGCTGTGACCTTGCCCCGCCCCTTCTTGGTGGCATAGTCAAAGGCAAACTTGGCAATCCGCTGAGATTTGGTTCGGGTGACGATCTTCAAGCACTCAATCACACCCCTCGCACTCTGGATAAGAAAAGAAAAACAGCCAGGTGACCCTGAAAACAAGGGAAGGAGCCATGCCGCTCTCTCCCTTCACCCTTGCCCCCCCCAGTTTCCAGGGCCTCACCTCATGTTCCAGTGAGCTGTACTCCCCTTCTGTCTGCTCTCGAATGATCACAAGATCTAGATTGTTGTGTCGAGTCTTGTACCCAGGAAGCGATTTCACGTGGACTACATTGGCAAACAAGTCCAACTTACGCCTGAGGGTGGGGCAGAGCCATCAGCACTCTGCCCGGTGCCCCAGGACTCCTCTGACCCACGGCCCCCGCCACCTACCTCAGTCGCATATCGTAGGAGGCCAGTTCTCCCTTATACTCCATCGGGGTATGGATCTTTCCTGTGTAAACAAAGGGGGAGGGGGAGGGCACAGGCTAAGACCAAGGGAACCCAGATCAGTGTCCAACCCTCTCAGTGACATGATGCAACCCAGACTCTCCTCTCCCACTCCCAAATTACTGACTCTTTTTTTTTTTAACGTTTATTTATTTTTTGGGGGACAGAGAGAGACAGAGCATGAACAGGGGAGGGGCAGAGAGAGAGGGAGACACAGAATGTGAAACAGGCTCCAGGCTCTGAGCCATCAGCCCAGAGCCTGATGCGGGGCTCGAACTCACGGACCGCGAGATCGTGACCTGGCTGAAGTCGGACGCTTAACCGACTGCGCCACCCAGGCGCCCCTAAATTACTGACTCTTAAATGCCTCTGGAGACAAAGAAGAAACTGATGCTTGCAGGTCTATTTGACATTTTTTCAACCAATACTTACTGAATACTGACCATGTATCAGGTACTAGGGATATCAACCAAAAAACACAATACACAATTCCTGTCCTCAAAACGTAAACAAGACATTGGGAAAGACGAATAATATGAAAGACACGATAAGTACCACAGGAGAGGTATTAATGTCGTACACAGAAGCACAGAATAGAAATTCTCTCTCGTAATATCAAGAAAATTATGAAAACAGCTGGCACTTCAGCCAAATCTTAGGTTAAGTGGGTACAGTAGGTTGAATAGTGAGCCCACAAGAAATGTCCATGCCCTAACCCTCAGAACCTGTAAATGTGACCTTATTTGGGAAAACGGTGTTTATAGACATAATTAAGGATCTAGAGATGAAATCATCTTGAATTAGGGTGGGCCCAAAATCCAGTGTCAAGTCTTTATACAGGAAACAAAAGAGAAACAGATACACAGACACAGAGGGAGAAAAGCTGTTCGAAAAATGAGGCAGAAATTGCAGCGATGCATCTACAAGCTAAGAAACACCAAGGAACACCAAGAGCCACCAGCAGCTGGAAGAGGCAAGGAATGATTCGCCCCTAAGCCTTCAGAGGAAGCCTGGCCAACACCTTAATTTTGGGAATCTAGCCTCCAGAACTGTAAGAGAACATATTTATTACTTTAAGACACTAACTTTCAGGTAATTTCTACAGTAGCCCTAGGAAACTATAGTAGGGTAAGTGAGGACTATTCTAACAGCACCAAAGGAAGAACATTCCGGGCAGAAGTAACAACGTAAATCAAGATAGTATTTGAAAACTAACAGTCCAGTGTGCCCCAAGCACAGAACAAGTGTTATGGAAATGAAGGCAGAAAAGCTGAAAGTCAGCTTACGAAGAACTTACTCTCCCACACTAAGCAGGGTCTGGCAAAGCCATGTCGGTCTTTCCAAAAGAACAGATGCAGAAGACAGATTGTAGGGGCAGAACTGGAAGCCAAAAAAAAACTCTAATGGGGAGATTAAAGCAGGGAAGGAGGGGGGGAAGACAGAAGAAAAGAGGCAGCTAGAAGTGGCATTCAAGAAACACAATTAACAAGATTTGATGACCCATGATATAGCCCCCTGACATACTTCAAACCCTTGAAACCCTCCTGCACAGGCAGCTCACATGATCTCTCAACTCCTGGGTCCCAAACAGTAAGAAACAAATGGCCACCACAGAATAGTGATGGGAGCCTGGGGGACTTAAGGTGTTAGTATGTGCCAAAAGAAGCTTAAAGAACGTTTGCTTGTGTGATTTTAAAAGGCATATGGGTGGAATAGCAAGGGGGCACACGTACCAATGATGGCCACCTTGTTCTCCTTCATGGAACTCAACACCTGCTCCAGCTTCTCCTCAGATGCCATATTCTGCACCTCGCTCAGGTGATGCTCCTGGAACTCCACTGGGACAGAGGCAGCCTTCAGGGACAGGTCCCCAAAATCTCTGGGTCACGATGGGGTAAGTCCTTTCCAACCCGCCCCATAGTGTGTGCTGGCTGATTCCCCGACGTCACTCACCTTGAACACCTCCTTGACAGCGTGCATCAGTTCAGGCCCCACGCCGTCGCCTGGCAGCATGGTCACGGGAAAGGCGCCCTCCACCCTCATGTCCTCAGCCTGCCAGCGGGACCATCAGAGCCACAGCTGGGGTGGGAGCACTGGTCCCGGGGAGCGGGGGACGAGGGGACAGGCGCGTGGACAGACCGGAGCCGGACTTTCCCTTACCTGGCTTCGACAGGCGGCGTGCGCCACGGCAGAGGTACACAGGTTCCTCCATGTCCCGGAATTCGGGGCGGCGACCAGCGCCTGCGACAGAGACGCACACGCCCGTGAGGTCGGGTACGGGGGTCCCACACCCCGAAGACTTCAGTGAGCCTGGTACACACCCGCCGCACCCCCACCCGCCCCCGGCACGACCTGACCCCAGGCCTCACCCGGGTCAGCCAGCGGACACCGCTGAGAGCCGCCATGTCCTCCGCAGGAAGTCGCGGGGGGAGTGACGTCAGAAGCCCGCGCGGGTGCGACCCCGATTTCCGGTCTGTTGTAGGGCAGTGAGCGAGTCTCCCTTGCCCGGTCCGACGCTAGCCGGCCTCTGCTTTCCTTCTGCCCTTGACTCTTCTGCTTATCCTTTGCGGTGGAGCGTGAAGGGACACACACACTTTGCTGCTTTGTTCTGGGGCTCCATATTTAATTTATGTTGAAACTAACTAACAGTAAAGGAGAATATGAGATTTCATGCTTAGGGAACGAGTGCCGGAGTTTAACGGGGTGAGAAACAATACTGAGGAATCTGTCCTTTCTTAATGTTTTTGTCTCTATGCCATGGTAACTCTTTTAAGCAATACGCACTGAACATTCCGTATGTCGGGCACGAAAAACATTAATGAACACAACACAGTCCTTGGGGGAAGGTTGTGTGTCTGGTTTCTCCGGCAGTCTCCTAGCCTGCCCAGTTACTCTGTATTAATCACATTTCCTCGTTGTTTCTTCCTATGTGGTCTTGTTCTTTGCTCTGACAGTTGTTTCCCTAAAAGTGTGTCCCAGGCCTCGACTACCCTGGGCAGAACCATTAGTTGGAGACAGAAATTATCTCAAGCATGTAAGTGGGACCAAAGGGGAATTTTGAACTGATTTTCTTAAGATTTTATTTTAAAGTAATCTCTACACCCAATGGAAGGCTCAAACTCACAACCCTCAAGATCATGAATCAAAGGCTCTACCGACTGAGCCAGGCAGGTGCTCCCAGACTGCTTTTTTTGTAATTTTTTAATGTTTATTTGTTTTTGAGAGAGAGAGAGAGCGCGTGAGCAGGGGAGGGATAGCGAGAAGGAGACACAGAATCCAAAGTAGGCTCCAGGCTGTCAGCACAGAGCCCGACAGGGGGCTCAAACCCACAAACCATGGGATTATCTGAGCTGAGGTCCCTATGCTTGACCAACCGAGCCACCCAGGTGCCCCCGTATTGATTTTTTAAATTCCATTCACATGCTGCTTCCAGATGACCTGCCTAAAAACAAAACGACACAGGAGGATTTTGCCTAAACTGATATTCTAGCAGTGTGGTTTTGGATCACCTGTCCCAAGTGGACCGGTGGCACTTGTTTTTTGTTTTTAATTTTTTTTTTTTTTTAACATTTGAGAGACAGAGACAGAGCACGAGTTGGGGAGGGGCGGGGGGGGGGGGGGGGGACACAGAATCTGACGCAGGCTCCAGGCTCTGAGCTGTTAGCACAGACCCGGATGCGGAGCTCAGACCCACAAACCACAAGATCACGACCTAAGCTGAAGTCGGACACTTGACCAACTGAGCCACCCAGGTGCCCGGGGGAATGTAGTCATTCTATTCTTAGGGACCAAGTACAGGCTTTGTGCTTCCTTCCCTGCATTCCTTTAGACAGCGCAATCTCTACGGTAGTGGGATGAAAAGATTTATAGATTTTTAAAGATTAGGGGCGCCTGGGTGGCGCAGTCGGTTGGGCGTCCGACTTCAGCTCAGGTCACGATCTCGCGGTCCGGGAGTTCGAGCCCCGCGTCGGGCTCTGGGCTGATGGCTCGGAGCCTGGAGCCTGCTTCCGATTCTGTGTCTCCCTCTCTCTCTGCCCCTCCCCCGTTCATGCTCTGTCTCTCTCTGTCCGAAAAATAAATAAACGTTGAAAAAAAATTTTTTTAAAGATTAAGTAGGAGCCTTGAGCAAATGACAAGTGCTGTGTAAATATAAGGCTGTTATAAATTTATAGTTAATATAATTAATGTACACTATGAATAGAATGTACTCCTCCATCCCCATTCATATATTTCCATGAAACAAATCAAACCACAGAGCATCACCACATTGTTCCCATAGACTCCCTAGTCCCACCTTCCACACTGCTATTGCCATCCACCACGACTTTTCTCCTCCAAATATTACTCTTTCTGATGAAGTGAGAGATTTACTTTTCTTAGAAATCTATATCCTCTTACTTGAGGAAATTTAAGGTGGAAAAGAAGAGGGATGTGCCATCTTGATCCAATCTCTGGTAATAACCTAATTTTTATTCCCCCAAAATGTTACTTTTCTTTTCTTTTCTTTTTTCCTTTTTTTTTTTTTTTTAGAGGGGGGCAGAGAGAGAGAATCCCAAGCGTTGAGCAGGGAGCTGGATGTCAGGCTCGATCTCACGACACTGAGATCATGACCTGAGCTGAAATCAAGAGTCAGATGCTCAACCAACTGAGCCCCCCCACCCCCTCCCCCCAAATACTAATTTATCTTGAAGATAACTACGTTATTTTCATCCCTAAATTCTGCCCAGCCTGACATTCAAGCAATATCTGCTAACTGATGTGACACCCTGTAGCTACCCACAGGGTGACTCCAATTGACTCAAGCCCAGAAGATGAGACCATCATTGTCTGGAGGCCATTGCGTCTTCCCTAGGAGCTCGGTGAGTTCTCCTGGACTTCAAGTCTCCAAGGAAGTCATCTCTCACTGATACTGCCTGACAACAGGGAAGTTTAGTCAGGACCCTTGAAAAGTTCCTCAACCAGTCTCTTGGGCAGGGGAGAGAGGTTAAACCATCTGTTTAACTGTTAAGTTAAACAAAGCATGTAGTGTGAGGCTGAGTGAATTGAATGTCAGTTTCCTAGGCCTAGAAATCCTCTAGTACGGAGGTCCTAAGCTGGGGTCCACAGAGCCTATAGGCGTCCACGAATACAAATCAGTATCATGAACTTCGATGGGGAAAACCCAAAAATCACATCTTTGTTCTTACTAACCTCCAAGTGAAATTTAGCATTTCCTTTCACTATGAAGGTAGAATGAAATTTTAGTTCTACCTCTAGTACCCTTGACTTTGTTACTAATAAAGACTATATTTCACTCCGCATTTCACTTAAGCCCTGCGTGGCCTAACCCCCCAGGCATCTCTCTGGCTCTTGGAGGCTCCTCTTGTCCATAGACAACCCACCAGAGAAGGGGGTAACTGTGAGCACTTAACAACTAACATCTGAAGCAGTTGGGGAAATGGATACACCCGCTGACAGAAGATCTGAACCGGGCAGCTCCTACCCTGTGGAGGTGAGATGAACATGGCATGCTGGGACACAGTGAGGAGAGCAGGCATGTTTGAGGAGGTGATGTAGAGTGAGGAGCAGTGAGTAAAACTGACACAAGTCTTAGGGCTGAGAGAAATAGGAATTTATGGGCAATACCAAGGACCCTGTTGGGATGGCAATGTAAATTTATCATGGTATGGTACCATTGTGTGCGATTTCACGGAGAACACTAATTCTTGGATTCATCCAAAAATATTTTTTGGCCAGAGAGAAGTACAAGGGGGTTGAGGGTGTTGGCAACATGGAGTCCAGGGGGAAGAAAAGACGGAAGCTAATGGATAAGCAGGTGAGGAGAGGATCAAAGATCCCAAGATATTCTAAGAGTAGTGCTCGTGGGAGTCACTGAGCAGTAAGTTGGAAGGGAAGGAGGGATTCTCCATCAGCAGTAATGAAGCAATAATGAAGTGGGAATAATGAAGTCCCAGACGGGGCTGTCAGAGCGGGTACCAGAGAGAGCTCAAGATGACTCGTACAGAAGAGGACTCAGACCCACAATTATTGGATGAGTCATCGGTGTCCCCATGGGAGTCACCCATGATAGCGTCATCAGCTGAGGCAGGGGAAGGGCGAGGATTCGGGTGCCAGAACCTTCCCCTGAGAGCGGGAGAGACCAGGACGCCAGTCATGTCAGAAATGAGAGAGGTGGTGTCAGTGACTAGCAAGAACCCTCAGAAAGTCGGGCTGCTTTTTGCTGTGAGAGAAACAGAGAGAGTGAGTGGGGGAGGGGCGGAGAGAAAGGGAGGAAAGAATCCCAAGCGGGCTCGGCGGCGCTCAGCAGGAGCTCACCCGAGGGGCTTGATTTCAAGACTATGAGACCACGACCTGAGCCAAAATCAAGAGTCGGACACTCAACCAACCGAGCCACCCAGGCACTACACTTGGATATTTTTAATTAGTAAATTATTACATTCCTTTTAAAAAATATTAGAAATTATAGGGAAGGCCAGAGTTTCTTAGCACCCCAGCCACAGCCCCCAGTCCACCTGCCCTATCTCCCAGAGGCAGGTTCTCCCCTCCTTCGAAACCTTTTTCCTGTGCATGTACAGCACCCAGAGTATATAGTATTGTTTTTAGTGGATGGGTGTGCCCTTTAGAAGAAATCGTTTCATGCTCTATATACTTACTGTCCAATAATGCACTTTTTTTCACTCAATACTATGTCTTAGAAATCTCGGGGCGCCTGGGTGGCTCAGTCGGTTAAGTGGCCGACTTCAGCTCAGGTCATGATCTCGAGGTCCGTGAGTTCCAGCCCCGCGTCAGGCTCTGTGCTGACAGCTCAGAGCCTGGAGCCTGTTTCGGATTCTGTGTCTCCCTCTCTCTGACCCTCCCCCGTTCATGCTGTGTCTCTCTGTCTCAAAAATAAATAAACGTTAAAAAAAAAATTTAAAGAAATCTAAGATACCATGTTTTAGAAAACAAGCAGACTCGTTTTGTTTTGCTGCACGGTATGGTATAATGTCTGTTTACTAAATTTATCGAGCCTTTCTCAAGTTGATGGATATTTCAGTGGTTTCTAGTTTGGGCCATTACCAGCAATATTGCTGCGTAAATCTGATTTTCTTGGTACACGTGATAAACATTACAGAGTGCCCCCAAAGCATCTGTACTCATGTATGTGTTACGGGTTGTGAATATGTTCTGCCGTGATAAACAGAAAACTCATTAAACAAATAAGGGTTTGGGGTTTTTTCCCCTCATTTCTGAATTTAAGGAGTCACTGGGGTTGGTTTAACTGCTTGGTGACACCCCCTGAGACCCCAGCTTTCTGACTTTGCAGTCTGCTAACCTTAGCGTGTTGTATGATAACCTCATCCTTGGTGCCTCATAATCACCCTATGGCTGCTGCAGCTCTAGACATCACTTCTGCATTCAGCTGGGAAGGGGAAGAAAGAAGAGGCCCAGCCACATCTGCTCTTTCTAACCAGAAATGTAAAAGCTTTCCCAGAAACCCTCTCGGCA